TCTATACCGAGGACCGAGAACCGAGAACCTCGAGACCCTTTGTCCCAGTAGTCTCCCCTGGTCATCGCCGTCCACTTTTGAGGCTGAAGGATCTGAATGGGTCCTTTACCTCAACTAGTAAAGTCACACGGGTCCTAACCGGATCTCCGCCATGGTCGAAAAGAGACGTGGAGTGAATACTAATCCGGACAGCGGCCGAGTGTTCCCCATGTCTGGCAATTTCACGTCTCTAAGGGTCACTTACCGAATCGGGACGACCGTGATGGACTTTTGCTCCTTGGCATCAGACGACGGACGGTCTATGGATCTGGATAGGCGCAAGCAGTGTAATCCTTTGCCCAATGCTCTGGCTGGCCGGGCAAGCTGGCTGGTCTGATGACTCTGGTACAATGTCCTGCTGAACTTGGAGTGCGGTCCTTTTTCCGTATAGTTGCGCAGCGAAATAAGCATAAGTCTAACCTGTATCAGAATTCTAGACCACCAAACTATACAATCTGTGCCCCAAATGTGCCTCCAAGTCCCCATATGTAGTATAGAGCCAGCGACCCGATTGGTCTCTGGCTCGGCGACGAGTCATGGATTTTCGTGCGGCTGTCGGACATGAGCGTTGATGGATGCCAGTCTCAGGTGCCCATGCTCCAGAACCCCCCCTTGGCAACCCCATCAGTGCGTCTTTCGGGTCTCGATCCGGGCGCTGATTATTTCTGCCCGGCGTGCTGCACGAATGCTGGTGGCCCACGCAGTTTAGGTGGTTCACGAATTGCCCGAGTGGGATGTCTCCAGCAACGCCTGGCTGGCTGGCCGGGGTCATGGTAAAGTCATACATTAGACAGCACCTTTGTAGTCTGTAGAGTCGTATTGCTAAGCCCCAGTTCCCCCTTTCTGGGAATTACATATTAGTACATAACCACACAGCGTTGCAAGCAAGCCTCATCCAAGTTGAAGAGTTTGCGCCAAGACCCTTCTTGGCAGCTTGGCTTAGGTAAGGAGAAAGTCCAACATGTTCACTTTTCCAAAAGCCGCATGTGCCGAGCCGTAAGTATCATCGAACTTCCGAGGGAAAGTCTTGTTGCTAACCGGGCTCACGAATCTGCGGAGATGCCCAACTTCGACCAAGCGAGAAATGAAGTACGACTTGTCTCCATCTGCATCCTCAACTTGGAACGACCAAATGGCAAAGATCCCTTGTCCTGTATTTCCGTTATCACAGAAACTAGCTGAGTCTTGGGGCTAATGTTGAACGTGGATATTTGTTTCAGAGACTCAAACATTATCGTGTCTTTTTGAGCGTTCCCCTGGAGGGTTTCTACCTTGTCAATCCGCTTTCGTTGGCTGGCTTTCTGAGTTCAGGATCCAACTACGAGAGGAGACAGAGGAGCTGGCCAGCTTGCCGAGGACAAATGGTAGTTCTGAACTTCTGATCAAGTGCTGCGTCTTCTGGTCCAAGTTTGGGCAAACCACAGGGTCCAATAGCAGCATGATCCCTTGCCTGTTTAGGCTGCGCTATTATTCGACGTGAAGCGGGCCTGCAACTATGTACGCTCAACAGGAGAGTGACAATACTTGGCAGAATCCAACAGAAGTCCAGTGGTGGATGCGTAAATCAGGCTACGCTCTTCAGACATGAGCAGGCCTCAGATCGACCTTGAATGCCTCTTTGGCTGTGCGCTTTGAGTTTCGGGCAACCCGGATGACTGAAAAGGGGGTTGATTCCTCTTTTTGAAAGACTCGTTGCAATACAGTCCATCTTCCTTAGCATCTGAACAGCTCAAAGATTTTCAACTACGCCTTTTCCGTCCCTTGCTGGGCACTGGAGGCTTGAATTCGTCACTGAGAAAAGTCGCCTGACATGCCGCTGTTCAGAAGGGACCAATAAGTTGTATCTACGCCTTGAAACGCCCAATCTCCAGCCTCTGCTGTGATTCCAGGGCATGGCCATCCGAGGTAATCGGCGCTGAAGCCCGCACACACGTCCTCGTGGGGGATGGTGTTGTCCTGACCGAGGAGTGCTTCCAAGGATACTGCTGGAGGAGTGTCTTGCTGGAGAGATTCCGATGCCACAGTCGTTGTGTTTGCTGGTGTGGGCAGCTGTGAGTGGCTAAGATCCAGCAAGTGCGACTCGGCTGTCTGATTTGCGGTGGTTTTGATATTGATGATTCCGAGATAAGGGATGCTCAACTGAAGATTCTTCACCTCTGATTCGGGGCAATGGCGTGGAGTTACCCCGTTGCAGCAGTCGACAATGGGGAGCAGCTGTTTGATAATCTCTGCACTCTCGCCGGATAGCTTGTCGTCGTTCAGCACAGCTAGTTCCTCCATTTTGGCCAGGACAGTTTCAGCCAAGGTCCGGTCCTCGCTCCGTTGTCTCGCCCAGTCCTCTTCCCGAATGCCAGGAGGACGACTGAGGTGACCGAGAAGAAGCGTCATGGCGGCCATGAGTGACGAATAGTCAATATGGCGGCATGAGAATGCTGCGTTGTTGGCGGTGCGGAAGATGACGCATCGTCTCAGGACGGCCCTACTAGACTCTAAACACGTATTCTTGCTGTAGTCGAACCGGGTGTTTGTCTGGTTGCGAAGCATGTATGGGAGGTGTAACAAGATGAGCAAACTATGGTGGTGGATCTGGAGCATCAGGTGCGACATGATGCTCATCTGGCCAGTGGTGTCGGTGTAGTCGGGCACGGGCGGGATCTCCCACCAGCTGCGTCCCATGGACTTTGCCGCGTGCTCGAGCTCACAGTCTACAGATTGAGTGATGGCAAAGGCTTCTGTCGCTGCAGTGCGATTTCTCTCAATGATTCGGAGCGAGATGGCCGTATATCTCTTTTCCAGTTTCTCCATCGGCGTGTCACGGACCAGGAAGGTTTCCGACATGAAGCTGTTATCCTGCGTGCCGGCAGAGAGACCAAGGAGTAGGGATAAGTATCGATCGCAGGAATTGATACGGGACCACAGCGCATGAGAGGAAGGCATCGTAGAAGGGTCAGTTGAGGGATCACACGACTTCAACGGCCGCGAGCCATCGCGCTCGATGCCCATCAGTTGTGCTAAGCTAAGAGCTCTTCTCATGGCGAGCCATGCTTTGCGGAGGTTGCCAGAGTTGACGAGGTAGAACCCTTCGAGAATGAGACACTCCAAGCCCTCTGCAGAACCCACCAACTCGTCGTTGGAAGTGACGGCGCTGGCGGCTGCTGTCCACTCTGCCATCTTTTCATGGATGGAGCACTTCAGGCAAGCCTCGAGTTGAGAAACGTCGAAGCACGGCGGCATCTGCTGCAGACAAATGGTCAACTGAAGCAAATGCTTTGCCAAGATAGCCGGGTGCTTGGTGACATCTGGCATGGCAGTGAGAGAAGAAGTCGGCTGGGATTTGCCCTCGAGAATATCTTGGTACGAGTAAAAGATGATTAATACGAAGATTGGGCCTCTGCTTGACTGGACGATGGTCTGGGCATCCTGAGGAGATGGGAACACGGAGTGAATGTCGCGGCATATCTTGTCGTACTTGCTGCCAGCACGAGGACGCTCCGCCGCAGGCGGATTCAGTGCGGATTGGGATAGGGGGCGGCCGGGAATCGGGGCGGAGACGGCGGTGGTCCCACTCACGGACTGCCAGGACGAGTCATCCGGGGTGACATTTGAATCGGAAACACGAAGGGAACCCTCGACCGACGGTGTTGGCGGGGTCGATTTGTTGACCGATGAAGGCTCTGGGCCCATTTTGTCGGCAAGCTTCACCATCAACTCTTCCAACCGTCCAAGACGCTGAGCAAGGCCGCGCTCAGGCGGGCCGGACGGCTCATCGTCGGTGAACTCCTGGCTTACGCAGGCGGCACCGCGAGCCTGGCAGCCATTGCAGGTTTCTTCTTCGTTGGAGGAGAATTCGCAGCGGATCTTTCTCTTCCTGCCTGGACGGGGTGTTAGTAAATCAAGAATAGCGATTGAATCGGGGAATTCGGCAGAGCTGGATCTCGCTCGGGAAACCGGAGCACTTCCACGGACGAACTTACACTGCCAGCAACTTCGTGTTCCCTTTCGGACTTTACGTTTCTTTGTCGGTCGTTCATCCATCTTTTCGGATGTTGTTGTTATGGGCTTCAAACCAAACGACTTGAGGACGAATGCTGCCTTTACATACAGTCAAATATCACAACAGAGGAGGTAACTCGAGATACCAAAGCTCCCTGAGTAAAGAATAAAAGTGAAAACAAAGACGTGATTTCGTTTGGAAAGCCCAGATCATCTGCCGTGGGCAGCTCTGGCTTGCTGCCTGTCTCACTGATGTTGTTCATGTCGTCGGTGCTTACGCATCTTTCGTCCGCTTCGTCCGCTCGGAGGCCGAAAACGGACGAACATCGGGCCTGGAACTGAGATGGGTACGTATCTCTGTCGGATGATCGTTGCGCATGTCACGTGTCCTTTGTATTTTACGTGCCTCGATTGGAGAGCCATCCCCACTCATCTAGGCGACAGGCGTTCACTGGCTGCATCGATTGGATCTAAGGATGGCTAGATCAAATTAGGCAAGCGTCTTATCAGTGTTGGTCTTGGCCCCGTTACGTACCTCCGCCGGGCCAATCTGCCTCCCCTTCTCTGCCTTTTGCTCTCAGCTGCTCCGTATCCCCCTCAACTCGCGATCCTTCGCAAAGAACTCGGGCCATTTTACCTGGTTGATGACTAACTCTCAGCATTGAGCGCGGCATTTGGACCAACTTTATTCACCAACCTTAGCCAAGTCTAGCGAGCCTTAACCAATCAGGCTTGTTGCTGTTGACGTGCAGCGGGGGGTCCTGTTGTCCTTTGTTGCCCCTCTGTTAGCTCGTTGCCTTACTGAGCACGAGTCTAGGGGTTGATGATATCGCAGGCCGACAGATTGATCTTGGCAGCATAACGACGACTGATCGTGGGAGATGTGGACGGGACTGGCGTGTGACGCTAGAGATCAGACCGGGCTTCAGCCTTAAAGGAGCCCCTCGGCTGGTCCAACTCCCCTTGACATGGGCCCCAAATCTGATTTCAAGTTCATCACCGTCGATGCCACTGAAGGGAGTTTCCAAACTGCGAGCAAATCCACCAGAAGTCATGCTATCCGAACTGCCATCCAGAGGGGCCGTTCGGAGCTGGGATCCTCGACGGCCTCAATTTCACAAGACACCATCAGGCAGAAGGCCCAGTTGAAGGGACGATTCAGGTTGGCGGGAACAACGCTCAAGTCAACCAAACCCAAGAGTCCAAAGCATCTGCAAGAACAAGAAAAAGAACAAGAACAAGAAGATGTGCAGTCAACTCGCTGTTCCCATGTATGCTATTTGTCCCCATCTCTCCACAAGACTCAGGCCGTCATCACTCACACTTCCGTAGTCTCCATCCGACATTGCTGAGTTTTTACACCAAGCATCGCTGCCACCCTGGGTACAGAGACTGGGGAGCGATAGCGCTGACCCCTTCAATACACTACCTATTCCCAGTAGTCCTTGCGTGGACTCTCTGGTGAAATATTGTAAGAGTCGCAGCTTCTACCGCTCACGAGCCGGACGCCGTCACACCACGCCGCTGCTGTGCGTCTGAGCTAACTCTCCAGTCACCACCAGATTTAATCTCAACTCCACTACGATCGATACTCAGAGACCATGGTTTCCCTATGCTATGCAGAGCGCTCTCATCATGCGCGTTACGCTGGCCTTGGCAGCAGAGTTTCTGACCGCCACCATGCCTCTCCTTGACTTCAAGCTCCAGCGCGAAGGGTACCAGCAAAAGGGGGAGGCGATGCGGATGATCAGAGATCGTCTAGCTTCTCAAGAATCTGCCCGTAGTGCAAGCAATGACCTCTCTGTTCTTGCTGGCGTGGCCATGCTGGGAAGCGTTGAAGTAAGTGATTTTCTAGCGCTCATATACGAATACCACCACCTCACTTCGATGCCCCAGTCCTCACACACATGTTGGTAGGCTTTTCAAGGTCACTTTTCGGCGGCAAACGTCCACTTGACGGGGCTCCACGCCATGATAGAAGCTCGAGGGGGACCGGAGACGATCAAACACGACTACATCCTCTGCCGCTGCATTAATTGGTGTGTGCCTTGACTTCCTTCAATTGCCCTCCACAACGAACGGTAACTGACCAGAATCCCTCTCCCAGGATCGACATCCAAGTGGCCTCGGGTCTCGGAAGAGTGCCAAAGTTCCCCATGTTCCACACTCTCGCGCAGGTATCTCTCCCGCCGTCGGTCGTGAATCGCGCAAGGGCGCCTTCCCTGCGACACCTGGAGAAGCTCGGCGGCCACAACCCCGACGAGAGCGACGAGCCGCTCAGGATCTTTGTGGCGCTGAGGCAGGCGATCCTCTCGCAGGCAGGCGGTGCCGTGTCCGTGGCCGCAGACGACATCAGGATCGTCATGAACACGGCTGATAGCACAATTCTGCACTTTTTATACGTGGAGCGCCGGACAGCGACGCCAGTACAGAAACGGTTCCTAGTTCTCGTCTCTGCGGCTCATGTATTTCTTTATACCGTTTTGCGAGAGATCCCGACGACGGGGCACATGGTTCGGGTCCTCGTCAGGAGGATGCGCGACGCCCTCGATGACGCGGATTCCATTGCACTCATCTGGGTGTCTCACGATGCCGCCTTGCTGTGGGTTCTCTTTGTGGGCATCGTCGGGTCCGGAACAACCGAGGACCGTGAGTGGTTCTCGTCGAGACTAAATAGCTTACTGGAACGAGCCAGGGGTATTTTGCCGCCGGAACGATGCAGGCGCGAGAACCTGCAGCAACTCCTTTCCGGGTTCCTCTGGCGGGATAAGCATTGCTTACCAGTCTTGGATGAAGTGTGGGCAACGTGGGAGCGCGGCCAAGGCGGTACTGGTGGTGGTGGTGGTGTTAGTGTTGGTGTCATGTAGAAATGAGGAAAATGCACGGATGCAGCAAACCACTTGGAGTTCCCACAACGTCAAATAACGGACACGGGATTGGCCCAGTTGCTGCTTGCGGGCTCCCCGTGCGTGGCCGGAGCGTTCACCGCGCGAAGGATGCATGGTTCGGGGACTCCAGCTTGCGATATCGTCCTCTTCTCGGAGTGGTCAGCGGCTGGGATGGTCCGGTTTGCAGCAATCTCGGCCGTTGATGCGTTCGTCCGGCTGAAACCGAAAGGGACCATGGACTGGGAACATCATGACAACATGGCAGCATGGCAAAGAGAGAATGGCACGACTCAGGTTTGGAGGAATGTCATCTCCAGGAACGACCAGACCGGTTCAGAACAGAGTGCGACGATAATTTCGAGGACGACCGCCACACCAACAGCGCGCGCCCTTTAACAAATTACAAACGCAAACTGGCCCCATCCCCGCAGTTCTACCCCGGATTCAATGACACAATCGGAATTGCCAACAGCTTCGTTCAGTCCATGTCCCTCACCCTCCCCTGCTCATGCTGGCCCCCCCCCCCGGTAACGAGGAGCGAGCAAAAGCCCGTCGCAAACCGCTTCCAGTTGCTCCTTCGTACGAAGATCTCGCACGCCAAAGCTGTGTAGTTCGGTTCTCGCGGCACGACGGCCGAGTCGTTTGACGCAAGTTTGAACCTTCGGATCCGCCAAACGCGGTAGATCAGCTAGTTTATCACCCTCAACTAGACGCCAATACAACCTGCTGATGCACAGTTGTTATCCATGGCCTTGTTTGCCTTGATTCGCCTTCTTCATCGACGTGTTGCGATTTCTCGTCACCCTTTTTTTTTTTTTTTTTTTCGCCTAATGTCTATGAAACCAGTTTCGCTTTGCCACGAATGTGTCCAGTTAATGTCGGGCGAGAACTCGGCGTAAATGCAACCTCCTTTCTCAACACCCACCAAAACCACACCAGCCTCCGAAACTGTTATCTCTGCGGTTGGTAATGGTTGTATGTCAAATTATTGAGCAGAAAGTCTCTCTGGCCAGTCAGAGTTGGCCTAAAGAACTGGCACAAAAAGAAGACACACGCAAAAAACAGGGTCCGTATGGGTTCCGTTCACGCACGAGAGAAGTCTGTCCGGCATGGATACTCGCTCCAAAAACCCGCGTCGCATGAGATCTCGCCTCGCTCGCCTCGCTCAACAGGCGGCCCTGGACGGGGTGGCACGGGTGGGAAGACGGGCATATGCAGGGGGGATCAGCCCTTTGTGCACTTTGTGTGGCCACATGTGCAGGGAAGTGCGTAGGAGGCGTCGACAAGCCTTTTGGGGCCTTCCAGTCGATCTTCTAGAAGCCTTCCCAATACGTGACAGGTGTGAGTGGGCAAAGGTGGGATCGGCATGGATCCACGACTCAAGGATGTCGGGAATCTACGGGACCGCGGCGGCGCTATTACGTCTAACTTTGCGGCCCTCTGCGGGTAAGCGGCCTTGCAACCCACGACTGGTTTAGCGCATCGAAGCAAGACACTCAAGACAATCCCAAGGCTTGCAGAAATCGCCTACGCCAGCGCGGGAAGGCAACTCGAAGGGGAGGAGGGGGACGGGTAGAAGGGTGGAAGGGTGGGAGAGATCCGAGAGACGTCTGCGCCTATGGGAGTCTTTTCCCACGAACGGGCTCAGGCCCCCCCCCCTTGTTCGGCAATCGTCACTCTTGGCTTTGGCTCTTGTTCGTTTTCGTCTGAAAATTTTTGAGCCTCATGCTCTTGGCCCAACGTCCAATGTTCAAAGTCACCTATGACGCTCTTTTCCTCGCTAGAGTTTCAGCAACTCTAGATAAGGCAAAGTTTTCTCTTTCGTCCGTTTCCCTTCTCTGAAAGGAGCTCAGACTATCTTTATTCAAATCCCAGTCACGTCAGGCCTCTTCCCAGCGCGCCACCGGTCGTATTTCGGGGTCGCCCGTGGGAACAGCAACATGGACTGACTCAAGGTGGGTGAGATGAGGCCACTCTGCGGCTCTGCTTCTGGGTCCTTTAGGTAAAGAATAGGTCACAATATCCACCCTATTACGATGCAAAAACTCTACCAATTGCCTCAGTCCCGCATTTACACGACCGTGAACAGAGCAACCCCGTCAACAACCCTCAACTTGCTGGCACGCGTTCCTAGTTTTCTTGACAACGAGAAATACAACTTTCCACTGGGAAACTCGGGGAAGCAGCACGCGGCCTCACGCAAAGACCAATGTGTCAATTCTGGAATCTCAGGGACGCTGGTCGATTTCGCGGGGAAAGTCTGCAACGGTTTATTCCCCCGCAATTTCACAAACGCACGGAATCCGGTCCCAAAGCAAGGGGGGCCGGGTTGATGATTCTCTTGTACAAAGTACGAGTCGTCGAATAGCAGAGCTTTCCGTGGGACTTGAGTATCCGTATGTCAGCCATCTAGGTAATCTGGCTGACGAACTCTTGCCGCCCACTCGCCCACTCTCTCGTCCCTCGTCCGTGGTAAGGCCATCTACCCATCCCCATCCCCATCCCATTCCATTTCCCAGGTGCCGGTGTCACCGCCCACGATCGCGGGGGGGCCAAAAGATAAGGACCCTGGTCCAATCATCGTAGGTTCCGGGTCTCAGTCGAGGTGAATTGCTTTCAACTCGACGAGGTCGAGCCCTCGGCCTGACTCCGGGGTCGGTGCTGATGCTCCGCCCTTTGCCACCATATATCCCGCCTCCGTCTTCCCATCTTCTTGTTGTTGTTTCTCTCTTTCAGTCCAACCGGCTCTTGACTCTTCATCTCTCTCTCTTCTCTCTTTCTTCAACCGAAGTCAGACCTGTTCAACCCGGTCCGTCCTGTTGTGCGTCCGAGTGTGTTTGTCTCATACAACGCCCTCAACTCCAACAACACCCATCTCGCCTTTGACATCATCCCGTCAAAGCGTCCTCCCCTCCTCCTCTTCCTCCGCCCGGGCCCCACGCCACACGCAAAACTTGGACTAGAGACCAAAAAAACCACACTCTCTCCAACCTTACACACACTCCAACAAGGAGCCCATCATGGATCACGACCAGATTAGACAACAGCAGGCTCATGCCGCCGACAACAAGGACACCAAGTCCTCCGACGGCGCCGCTGTCGCCCCCCAATTTTCCCGCGATGCCGTCTTCCCAGGCGAAGTAGTCGGCGAAGTCACCGACCTCAACCGCCAGGATCTCGAGAAGCAAAAGGCCGCCCAGGGCAGCGCCCACTTCCACCGCCTCGGCTGGAAGCGTCTCACCGTCGTCCTCATCGTCGAGGCCATCGCCCTCGGCAGTCTGTCTCTCCCCGCCGCCTTCGCCTCCCTCGGTATGGTCGCCGGCGTGATTGTGTGCGTCGCCTTGGGCTTGATCGCCATTTACACCAGTGACGTCGTGGGTCAGGTCAAGATCAAGTTCCCTCACGTGTCGCACTACGCCGACGCCGGTCAGCTCATGTTTGGCCGCTGGGGCTACGAAATCATCGGTGCCATGTTCGCGCTTCAGTTGACGTTCCTGGTTAGCTCTCACACCCTCACCGGCGCCATCGCTTTTGGCAACATCACCAACGACGGCGCGTGCTCCATTGTCTTTGCCGTCGTCTCCGCCATTATCCTGCTGATTCTTGCCATCCCCCCGTCCTTTGCCGAAGTCGCCATCCTGGGATACATTGATTTCGTCTCCATCATTCTCGCCATCGGTATCACCATCATCGCGACCGGTATCAACAGAGGTGAAATCACCACCGCTCCCTGGTCTGCCTGGCCCAAGGATGGTATCACGTTCGCCGAGGCCTTCATCGCCATCACCAATGTTGTCTTCGCTTACAGCTTTGCCATTTGCCAGTTCTCCTTCATGGACGAGATGCACACCCCGACAGACTACAAGAAGTCTATTTGGGCCCTTGGTCTGATCGAGATCTTCATCTACACCTTCACTGGCGCCCTCATCTACGCCTTTGTTGGCCAGGATGTCAAGTCCCCTGCCCTGCTGTCCGCCGGTAACACCATCTCCAAGATTGCGTTCGGCGTTGCCCTCCCCGTCATCTTCATCTCGGGATCCATCAACACCACCGTCGTCGGCCGCTACATCCACGGTCGTGTCTACAAGGACTCCATCATCCGCTTCATCAACACCAAGATGGGCTGGGTCACTTGGCTCGGTCTCATCACCGTCATCACCATCATCGCCTTCATCATCGCCGAAGCCATCCCCTTCTTCTCCGAGCTTCTGTCCATCAGCTCCTCGCTCTTCATCTCCGGCTTCACTTTCTACTTCCCTGCCCTGATGTGGTTCATGCTCATGCGCGAGGGTTCCGTCTTTGCCAAGGAGAACCTCATGAAGACTGCGCTCAACGGTCTTGCCTTCATCATCGGCATTGTTGTTCTGGTTTGCGGTACCTACGCCAGTATTGTTGAGATTGTGAGTTTCCCTGTATATGCCCACTCAAGTGTAACCATGCTAATTGTCTCGAATAGGACCTCAAGTTCAAGACTGGAAAGATCAGCAGCCCCTTCACCTGCGCTTCCCTCGCTTAAATACCAATCTCGTCGAATTTGTAGTTTTGATAGTGCAGATAATAATACCCCTTGAGTTATCTTGTAACATGCAGCAAAGCGTCTCAGCTCTTGCCATTCTATTGAGAGAAGCAACCATAGTAGCCCTTTGAGGGTGCAGTCCGATTTGTGCATGTTCAAGACGTAAGCCCTTGTGAAGAAGCCGAAGCCCGATAGGATTGCTCTCGCTGGACTATTAACTGCTTGTGGTCTGCTGCTGCTGAACCACACGTTGCTGTAAGATGTGTCTTGCCGGCTGAAAGACCATCTTGCTAACGTGTACACTCATCATTAATAATGCTTTCATAGAGTTCATAGGATCTTATTTAATAACAAAACCAATTGCAAGTACTAACTCCATGATCGATAAAACAGGCCCATGGTACCAAAACTCCAGGCCGAGTCCAATTATCCCACACGCCAACATTTCCATTCTATCCCCTTCCCCACCCCTTCACCAGCAACTCAACCACCAGCTCATTTCTCCGTTTCCTACGTGTTGCCCTTGTCTTAGTCACTTCCGGTGCTCTTCATCCAGGCTTCACCTGATTCGCTTCCGATACTCTTGAGCCAAACGCCAATCATGTTTCGGCGGATTTTCTCTGACTCATTATTGAGCACCAGTACTCGAACCCTGTTGCCCGGACCCCGACGAAGCCGGTCGATCTCGTTCACCTTCGGGAAGGTCAACATGTCGGTAAACTCGAATATTGCCAGTGACTGATAGTCTCCGAGTATGGCGTAGGGAGCGTCTTCCACGACGGCATGGGTGGCAATCCCGTGAAGCGTTGTGGTGACTTCCTTTTCGAACGGAGACTTGGGATGATTTTCGATTCCGAAGGTCGACTCAAACTCACGATTGTGAGGTGTCGTGTAGTTTCGGAGGCCACTTGTGAGGCGTAGGAAGTCTTGCGCAATCCCCTCATTGTTGGCCGTCTCGAGCATCTCCGTCAGCTCGGCGGCATTGTTTTGTGCCTCCTGCCACAAATTCAGCAGTCCCACAGGGGCCTTGTCGAGCTCTTTCTCGAACTCCTCCACGACGACCAGGCCTCTATCCTTGTGCTGGGCGACGAGCATCGATTCAATGGGTTCTTGACCAGGAGCGGTCAGTTTACACTTGGCCGTCCAGCCTGGGACGGGAATGATCGACGCTGGCTCGAATGGCTGGTGATTGTGGATCTTGATCATCTTCCCAGCTTGAGTCGTTCTATCTATCACCAAAGTTCCCGGCATGTGCCCTTTGACGAGAACCAGCCCAACATCTCGGTTGATGGAGTCTTCGATTGATCTAGCCACGTCCGATACGTTTCGGTGAAACAGGATGGTGGGGTTGGGACGTCCGAGGTCGACGCCGTCAAGCAGTCTGAAGTCTGCAGTATCTAAAAACCGATCCGCGACCTTGGTGTAATAGTCGCTAGGTGCTCGACTCATGACCCTTGGTAAATCGATGCGGTTGGCTGTTTCACCTGCATCGTGCAAGTTCTTCGACCTGGGGCAATCTCCAATTGAGATGTCCGGCAAAGGGGCGTCGTTGCGAATAGCTGCCACGATTGGCGGCTTGGCCTGTTGGTCACCCATTGTGACGTGTCTGCAAATTGGTATCGGTTACCTGATTTCTTGATGGGTTAGCCAAAGATACTGATGTAGGGTGAGGTAGAGTAAGATACCTATTCGGCAAATATTCCTATTTTGTCTAGACAGACCGACGGGATGACTGAGGAAATAACAGTCGGCGATTGTGGTTGAGAATCGTTGAGGGGAGCAAGTTGGTCGTTGGTCTCCGGGAAAACAAAGACAAGGTGGCTCAAGAAGGGACGCGTGTTGAGGTAAGGTAGGTACGCCTGGGAGCCAAGGTAGGCGTAGGTAGTAAACCTTCAGGTGAGGCAGGCGCGTCCCGTTGTAGGGCGGGTGGAAGGGGGAGTAGCGGTCAGAGTGAGGGTGGGCATATCTGACCTGGCCCTCATCTAGCCCTTAAAGACTACATGTATATTCACTTACCTACCTCAATGATGAAGCTGATCAGGAACACTTATCTTATCACGTGATGAGTGATGAGTCTCGAGTATGGTGATTGATGCTCTCATGACAAGTCTCTGACCACTGTCAGAGGAGACCAGGACGTGCCCAAACGAATAGTGGGGACGGGAGGAATAAGGTACTTGCCTTGATGGGGGGGAGACAGATCGAGATTGGCCAGTGCAGTTGCGGAGCCGCAGAACCTTAAGGTGCCTTCCTCGATTTTCGTACCTCACCTCACCTTACCCAGTGGGTGGCATTGTTGGCCGCCCAGCAACCTACCTCTATTTTCATTAAGGTATCCATACTGTTTTATTCCTCTTAAATCTCCTGTTGTTCTTATTGTTTCCTATTACTTTTAATATCTGTCCTTTTCTTTTTCTTTTTCTTGTCTGTGATGTAGTCTTTGAGAATACTAGGTAGCCTTTAGTTACAATACAAAGAATCGATCTCGTAATCATATTGCGTTGATAGGCATCTTTTTGGATCACCTAACTCCGAGGTGACTACTAAGGTACCTGCTCCCGTGAGTGGGTCTGACCATACACATTTGGAAGGTCCTCGTGATACCACCTTTGTGCCTTCCCTACCTCCCATGCCTCACCTTGGTACCGCACAAGGTAATCCGAAGCCCTTACCTACCTTGGCGCTTTCAATCTTCACTTTCGCCTACCCCAAGGTTTTTCATTCATCCTTGCCGTCCTTCATCCACAATTTTGCTCGGCTTTTCGTTGTACAACTGGGTTTCATCGCGAACCCGTCGATTTTGTCTCTCAAATTCAACAGGTAAGTCTACTTCCATTCAGCCTAAACCGGCATCAGACTGATCAAGGATATCAAAAATCAGACTTTGAGACGAAATCGACATGGCTTCTTCCTCTCCCGAGGAGACAGCTGTCAGACGTCGAAGGGAGGATATGGACATTCTCCCCGAACACGAGAAGAATTACTCGCTAGGACGACGACTTCTTCTCCGATCACACAAACCGCTTCCGCCCTACGGCGATCATCACTACCCGCTTCCGGATGGCTGGAATTCTCGCGACATGATGGTATCCGATGAAGAGAAGGCCTTTTCGCTCAGACGACTGGTTTTCCACCCGAACAATGCGCCCAAGACCATTGACAAGAACAACCAAGATGGCCATGCTGCTTCCATGGAGGTCGAGATCATTCGGATGATTGACGGCAGTGCTGGATACCATCCTGGTCCCCAAAAAGTCCTTTGCAAAGTTGTCGCTTCGCCATCGGCCGCCCCAAATGAACGAGAGCATGAGATCCCGTCTGAGGGACAGCTACTCTTCCTGAAGGTGTTCGATCCCTTGTTCTGGCACAAGACCATCGACATCACCAAGCGCCTCATCAAAGTCACAATCCAGGCCGACTCAGCATTCAGTGACGAATTCGGCGCCTACAACCGCCTCTTTGAAAAGGAGCTCACTGGCTTCCCCCATGTCGCTCCTCAATTCTATGGAGGATGGATCACGGAAGTCAAGTCGATCAACCCATCGTTCGCAGACCGGACCCGGGATGTTGCGGTGCTTGCAACCGAATTTATCGATGGCACCGGCCTCGACCAACTCTTTGCACTTGATGGCCCCAAGTATGAAGTGGTTGAGCTATACAACAGCGCCGAGTCACGCGATGCTTTCACCACAGATCTCGATACAAGAATGGATACTATAAAGCAGCTCATGGACGGTACTATGTCGGAAGAGTACATTGGAGTTGATCATTGCCGTTTTCACTCTAGCAATGTTATAATTTCCATGCGAAACCTCGGTGAGCCGCTGGAGAAACCCAGGGCTGTTCTGATTGGCTATGGGCAGGCGTTGGTCGATGATTTGCGCAGGGAGCCTGCTGACACGTACAAGAACTATCCAACAAAGCCCCATCCGTTCCTTCGATTCGGCTGGCAGAGACTGGAGTCTTTCGCAGGCTGGATCCCTGCCCATTGGAAAGGTCCGAACATCAACCGCCCGCGTTTGCTCGACCAATGGGTCGTTCAAACATTTGGTCCTTTGACGCCCAATGAAGAATATACCTTTCTTGCGTCCGACGATCTGGCCGAGCTCGAGGGAACATCTACAAGCGCCTTGCCCGAGGAACAGCCTTAGAGTGGCAGTCACCTGGAAACGGTTGCCCCGACGGTCGCGACTACTTCTGACCCCTCGGTAAAGTCCGTGGACTCCGACAATGCCCATGTCTCAACAACGCTTCCTACCGAGGAAGATCACAATGAGAACATTCCCAGCCTGAACGACAAAGAGGACAACCACAAAGAAGTGATATTGTGAGGTCCGCCCCTCTAACAACACGTATATATTCGTTTAGGGCTAATGGCTGTTCTCTGAGTCTGGCTGCCTTAGGTAGGTACACGACTGCAAAATCTCGTCCGGTAGCGACTTCCCCTGATGATATCAACCACCTCATTCAAGAGCTTGCCGTATACCACGTGACCACAGCAGAGGATGTGATTGACCTGGCCAATGGAGAATAAAGCAAAATATGTTCAACGGTATGAAGTTTGACAATGGACTACAACCTGCTTCCCAATGCTCTTTGTGAGTGTACTAATCTATTTGCCATTTAGGTCCTGTACATCGCGTGTATTCTAGCAACTCCTCAAGATGATCAAAAACCCAGTCAGTAAGGTACTAGGTAGGTAGGTAGTCGAGGTTGTCACTCCATTTCCGACCTTGATGTTGACCGGTAGTTCCATCACTTTGACAGCCGAACCAGGCCGTGCCCAGCTGGGATAGTGGAGATCTAGACGGGGTGAAAGTGGGTGGTGCCTTCCGTTTTCTGAGTCTACTGGACGATTTGATGGGCTTTCATTGGTCTGATTAAACAGCCCCAATTAAACGGGACTCTCGCTTAAGGCACCTTGATACGCTTAGGTAATCCGCTTTGGAGATACTGCCGTTATGTTCCTGTGGAGGTCGCCGTGGTTCTCCAATCAAACTCCTCATTCCATTCTTCAAGTCAACCTTGGGTGCCTTACCTTACCTGGTAACTTACCTTACCTTGACTCAAGTTCGGAAGGGGACTTTCATGCATCCCCTCTAAGACGTTCAATCGGATATGTCAGACAGTGTGACCAGAGGAGACAGGCGACGTCGATTCGCCAAGGTTAACATCCTTTGGACGTCCTTGTCAACATTTTTGGTAGCTGATGATCTCGACAGGCCTGCGACTTGTGTCGCATGAAGAAGGTCAAGTGTGACGGCGGTAGACCCAAGTGTACTAGATGTCTGGAGCTGTCTCTCATGTGCAACTATGCCGACGTTGTTAAACCATTCAAGCGGCGGACGCGGTCCAGTAGGGCGCAGGCAACAGCTGGAACCTCAGTGTCCGGATCACCTGATGATGGCTCGACTCGAGCCGAAGTATGTGTCCCAAATCATGACAATTTACAGGCAGCACCCGTTTCTCAAGAGCCCCCGTCCGAGCTGCACAGCAGCGGCAGCACTCCTCCTTCATGCGGAACGCGACCCTCTCCTTCTATAGGTTGGTTTGAATCAGAGATCAGTGGTTGTACTAGGGAAAATGTTCGTTGTCATTGACGATTTATCTCTTCAAGACTCTCTCATGGGTGCAGGACGAGACTTGAGATATTTCGGTACGAGAGGTCTCTATTCCGAACCAAATGCAAAAGTTGATTCCCTCTAGGCCCATCTTCCGCTATCGCGTTATTTCGAACTCGACCGCCACCGTTCGACGAGCAAACAGCATCGGCCCGGCGTCCAAATACCCCGTCGGGCTCAAAAACAGGATCTTGGTCTCTATGGACTCACTCCAAATTACAAGGAGTCTTTGAGAAACGGGTTCACTGCCATCTGCCGTCGTGGCCTGAAGCTCTTTCACTGGTTACGGCCTTCTTCGAGGAAAAATACATGGCTTTACCGCTCTTCCACCCACCTGCCTTTGTCGCACTGCTTGGTCAGCAATATTCTGGAGATTTCGATGGTGGCCCTGCCTGGTGGACCTCATTCAACGCTGTTCTGGCAATTTCTCAAAGGAGACGCGTTGAACAAGGGATGTCTGACGACAAGGAACTGGCCTGGGGCTATGCGGCTAACGCACTGGATACGGTTCTGGACATACTCATGAGGGCCACTCAAGTCATGTCGGTCCAAGCTCTGCTGATATTAGCCTGGTTCTTTCTGGGTACTCCCAATCCTCAGCCCAGCTTCATGTTAGTGGCCAACGCCATTCGACTTGCACACACCATCGGGTTACACAGAAAGGAGTGCAGCTCGTCACTGAGCCCTATAGAGAAAGCGACGAGAGCCAATGTATTCTGGCTTGCTTTCTCTCTGGACCGAGAGTTGAGTCTCCGGACCGGGCGGCCTCCTGCGCAAGATTTCGGTGGCTTTGAGGTTGATTTGCCTGATTTACTGTTGCAGCATGAGTTCAGCACCCATGCTCCTTCCAACGGGCTAGCCAACATTTTCATAGCCGCTTCTCGCCTGGCTGTCATCCAAGCTAAACTATATTCCAAGATTTATCTTGGAGAAGGGGTTAACCCAGGCGTCATTTCAGATGCTACGCAAGCACTAAACCAGGACTTAGATGACTGGCGAGCGGAGTTTTCGACAGTCTTGGATCTTGATAGTCATCCCGAGCTGACCAACTACTCTTCTGTTCTACGCTTGAACTACACCTATCGGCATTGCGTGATTCTGGTTCATCGGGCACAGAGCGAATATGACTGGAGGTCTTTGGCGTCGTCGGAGCGGTCATCTACAGTTCTGTCAGGCCAGGTCACAACCTCTATTCAGAACTCTGTGGATGCTGCTAGAGCAATTCTCCAGCTGGATGTACTCGTCCCGGATACCTGGAAAAGCTTGACTTGGTAAGTAATCCCATTGTGCGAACCGTGTCGCAATCTTTACGAACAGTTGCTAATTATTCCTACTAGGGACGTGATTCCGATCAGTGTCACTGCCACCCTCATCCTGTCCCTTTATACTTTGCGTCGACCCCGCACACCAAACGTCGCCGAGGACCTCGGTTCTGTCTCAAAAGCTCTGAAGCGTCTTGCCTCCATCGAACTTTCTGAACCTGGCTCATATTTGACTCCGGTACGAACGGTGTGTCAGGATGCGTACAGGGCTGCCCTAGGGGCCTTCAATACGTCCAACAGCACATCATCGCAACCAGGAAATACGACCTCTGACCAAGGCCAAACTGCCGCTCACGGCAAACAAGTCCACCAAGAGAGCACTTCGGACACCATGCGAGACTCTTCTCAAGTGGCTTTATCAGATCTTTCTCCCCTGCTCGAGCCTCATCACGAAGCAACTTCGAATCCAAGCAACGGGATCAACGGAACTAGCTTTTTGCCGTTTGACCAGAATACCCTCGATTCTTGGGGTGTTCCTTGGGGATTTGAACATCTTTTGGGAGACGATACTTCGATGTTCATCTGATAAGCTAAAGCGTGCCCGAGGCTATCTGCCATTCCGGACGAAGATACATACAACAAGCTTCATGAGATCCACTCGGGCTTCGACCTTCCTCTTCGACCTGTCGGCTCCTCCCACCCAATTTGAGTCGTTTGAAACTTGAACGCGGGAGCCAGAACTCTGATGTCCTCGTCGAGCCCGTAGTTCCGTCCGCTCATGTCCCAGAAGTATTCGGGATGGGTGAAGATGTCGGGGCGAATCTTCTTCCAAGACTGGTGCGTCTTACCAACTAGAGTGCCCATATCGTCGTAATGCCGCGGGCTGAAGTCGGGATCCCGGGCTCTGAGCTCTCGTTGCTGCTCTTCGGAGTAAAGGCCCAGGTTGTAGTACCAAATATTGTACTGCGTCAAGCTGATGTCAATATCAAACGTGACATCCTCTGATGTACGAGCAATCAAGGCCTGGATGGCAGCCGTGGCACCAACCAAGCCTGTCTGGTAATCAGAGTTGGCTGAACATTCGTTAGCAAGCATCCATGTGCACCAGCGAGTCCGAATGACTTACGCAAAAGCGGGACAACAGCCTCATCTAGGCCGAGAAATTTGCCTTGCAGATGAGAAAGCCCAACCAAGCAGTCACTAATCTGCTGCCATCCAGATCGATGAGCTAGTGGTCCCTTGAATCCGTAACAGTTCTCCCGCATGTAGATCAGGCTGGGATTCAACTCTCGCAAGGAGGTCGTATCGAATCCCAGTCTCTTTAGAGCACCTGGACGATATCCATCTACTAGGATATCGGCACCCTTTACGAGTTCAGCAAAAGTCCTCTTGCCATCGTCCGTCTTGAGATCAATGTTGGTATCCCGTTTTCCCGTTTGCAAGTCTGGCATTGTCGCCCCAAAGTCGGGCAGCTTATCGCATGACACGCGGAGAACATCGGCTCCGAGGACGCTCAGCATCTTGGACACCGCCGGGGCCGCAATGACCCGGGAAAAGTCAATGATCCTGATGCCCGCGAGCGGCTTGAACCCCTGATCATCTCGCGCTTTCGGCCACTCTTTCCTCAGAGCGGGCACTCGGGTCATGTTCCATAGTGGTTCCTTGGACATGGTTTTGCCTTGCTCGCTGGTGAAGAACTCATCTGGTGTGTAGCATACGACACCTGCTTGTTTGTACTTCTCGTTGGCGACTTCTTCGATTTCTTTGGAATGCCAATGGGCGACTTTCTCAGTGTAGATCTTGATGGCTTCTTCTGGGGTCACGTCGACATCTTCAACACCCAACATCTCCATTGTTGGCCCAGCGTTCATCGACCCGTGCAAGTGGTACCATCTGCCGTCCTTGGTTTTGTAGACATTTGTTGCGTACCGCCTGATGGGCTTTGAGGACTGGTGTATGTCCATCTTGGCAATCTCTGCCGCCATCTGCGGGTTCTGAAGAAACTGCTTGCCGCCGACCGTTGGCAGCAGAACGGATTCCAGGAAAAGCGTCGCGGCGTCGGTGTTGACTTGGACATCTTGATACTCTGTTCCGTACCTCTCTGCCGCAGCGACGTTAGCTGCGGTGGCTAACAGGGCGGTTAGAGAAGCGGACGACTCGGTGATTTTCAAGGGCGTGAGGACGAATGGTTTCGCATCATCTCCAAGAAACTTGACGTTTGTAGCGGCTTTCTTGAAAGAGTCTGGGAGACGCAAGGCGGGGTCGGCCAGCAAAACATCATTGAGAATTCGAGATGCCTCGGAAAAGACTGAATAGTCTGCCATGGCTGCAACCTTTGGTGAAGTACGGATGACCTCAACGATATCGTCGTTCCTGCCAAAGTTGTAGGAAGTTATATGATCAAGATCGGCCCTATATACATGTCCTTTGTGCGCCTCGGAAACTCCCTAGGCCAGGGATGTTGGGGTCAGCTTCATGTCGTCAGTGCCACAGCTGCTCAAAACTCCGGCAGATTCGCCTCTACGATGTTTCGGGCTCGGCCCGATGCAGCAATCGTCTGCCGGCAGATGGAAATACATAGACGATGGACCTAAGAAAACATCTCCTAGTCATGCGGAGTATCTGACGAGTCTCTCATTCGACGCGCTCGCATTTCTAGCTGGGACTCGTTTCACCGGTGGCATGTTGGTGGGTCTTGGTGCCGGAGTTTCGCGTTCGGAGTTTTGGTCACGGAGTTTTGAGCTCCTGGTGTGACATGCGCCTGGCACAGCTTTCATCGTGGATCTAGACCTCCCCGCTCATGTCGGAGAGTGGCATTCGGTTTTCGGGGCCAATGATAGGCAATAGCTATCTCCCTCACTATTTACTCATCGTCGTAAGGACTCAGAGAATCAGAGATGGTGTCCGATCGTAAAAGCGACAGCTCCCTGCCCTTCACGCACTATTAAATGCTCAGTCTGTTGATTAGTGGAATTAGAATATTAGAAGCTACCTGATTTGTGAAAATTACTAAGAGAGCGACAGCAACACTTCGCCAACCTTGCACGTCTGCATCAGACTGCAGCCTACTGAGCCATGTCAGGGTTGAACTCCAGCGCCAACCAGACATCGACGTTCTTGCCCTTTCCTCCCTGCCACTTGTGCCATGGGTAAGAGACCACATTGTTGTGACCACGGACAGCATCGCCGTACGAGTCGCGATACCACAGACCTCCATGCTCGTTGAGACGGGGAAGTGGGACCTTGTCGAAGTCATCCGGTCCGGCAGACTCAGGCTCCTTGCCTTCCTTGAGCCTCCACATACCTCCGGTCTCGGTTCCAGGGGAGAGACAGATGTGGATCTCCTGGAAGATATCGTTACCGTGGTTGTGAACTCCACAGTTGACATTGTGTCCTGCAGAGGATATGGTAAGCAAATTGATCAGAAACAGTTTCTGCTCCCTGAACACTATTATAACTCACCAGCAGTCCAGAACTGCAGATGCGCGATCTGTGATTTGTCGTCTTGGAATCGGAAGTGGAAGCCAGACATGTTGGTGAAGTCAACTCCCTTGAAGTTGTCACCCCACCAAAGATCTTCAACCTTGGTGAACTTGAGGTCGGGGAACTCCAGGCCAAGTTCTTTGGTGTTGAACGTTGTCTTGACGGGGACATCCCCGGCCTTCTCCCATACGCCAGGCTCGCCGAGAGAAACAATTCTCAGGATGATGGCCCCCTTCTCTTTGTCGGCGCTGAGTTCTTTGTCTTCGCTGGAGATAGGCGCGATCCGGGGGAAGGGAGGCAAGCCGAGGGCTGTACGAGTGCCTTCGATATCAGCAACGGAACCGTAAAGGACCTTGATGCCATCCTTCTTGCCCACAGGGATCTTTGCTCCGAGTGGGTGAATCTCGATGCTAATCGCGTAGTTTGCAACCTCGATCAGAGGGAAAGACTGTTGACTCTTGACTTCCTTGGGCCGAGCGAGATACACCAAGCCCTCGTTGTCCCACACCGTAGGTACGATGTGACGCTCAGTCACGGCGGGCTTGGGCTTGGCAAACTTATTGACGTGAAGTGTAATGACGGGCTTGGGCTCTTCGTAATACCGAGGAACATTGTACTCGACCGAGATCAAGTCAAGCTTATCAGAACCGGTGAAGTTACTACGAACGTGCCGTGTCAGTATTATACCAGCCAATCCGACACGGCCTCGGTAACTTACCCAATTGCGATGCGAGCTGATGATTCTTCTGCGATCTTCCACTTCGCGAATAATCCTTTCTCGACATCGATTGCCTTGTAGTACATGATGCCCTACAAAATATGAGCTGCTGAGGACCAAGTGTTGCGTTTCTACTCACCTTATTCGGGTTGGGTCCCTTCGTTGGCTGTAGAACTGGATGTCAGCAACCACAATCTTGTCATAGATGCGGGTCGTCGTCCAGACTTACAACAATAGACTCCAGGTCCTTGTCGCGATCCAGAGAGCCGAACAAAGCCAGGAGGAACTCGTCATCGCCATCGCCTATACGTAGAAAGCCCTCAGTCAGCCAGTCTTTTAAAGCGCTTGCCAACAAACATAACATACCATCGAAATCGGCACAAACAATGTAGTGGCCGGGTCCATCACCGTACTTCATAAGCTGGTTGGGCGTGCCATATATATCCAGGATGTGGCGCCTCCACTGTGTATCTTTCATACCACGACCAACCTTGGACAAGACGCAGGCCGTTGTACCGTGAAAGGGATCCAGCGTTGCAATGTAAGCAAATGGGTCGTCGCCGATCTTGCCAGCATCAGCACAGCCAGTGCCCCAATGGTCACCAGATCCCGGCGATAGAGAGTTGGGCTGTTGTCGGTCCTCTTTCGGCTCTCCACTCGAGAGGAGCTGTCGCTTCCACGAGCCCTCTTCATAGTAAAGCCAGTTGGCACCCTCGCGGGATGAGACCATGATAGAATCGAGTCCAGTAGGACCATTGAATCTGGATTTTGTTTAGCTCCCGGAACTTCTGCTCCTCTCGTCGGCGCGCGGAGTGAAAAGCGTCGACCTACTTTTTAACCGTCAACTCATGAATGACGGTGAAGTTCTCATCGTCAATGATTGAGCGTTGCCACTCAGTGCTGACAACTGTTAGCAAGTCACTATGTTGGTTCAAGGCAGTCGACTCACGCATTGAGGACATCCTCAGGAGCTTGGAAGCGGATGATGGGGATGGGGGTGATCTGTAGATAGTGATTAGAGAGCAGGAACAGAACGCATTCTGCCACGGCGACGACAGGCTAACCTTGTCGTGCGGTCCACAAACAACCGATGCGGCAACAATCTCCATCACAGATCTAGTCAAAGGTCAGCTCAACGAACAGCAGTCTAGATCTTGTGAGTTTCCATCCTACTTTTGTGTAAAGTATCCAGCCTTCATGCGATGCATTGCAGGCCAACGGCCGATCATGCGGAGTTTCCAAGGCTCCTTTCCCAAGTTCTCACGACCGGGGTTCTCAAGCCAGGAGATCCAGCCTCCCTTGGGATCACACTCAAGCATGAATGGGCCATAGTCGTGGCAGACCACAATGTCGGTCAACCCGTTCCTGTTGATGTCAACGGCCAC